TCACGGCGGCTAATGATTGCTGTAAATGGGAATAATTCTCTTCGAGTATTTTGGTTGACGAATGAAGTACAGTTGACATTTGGCATAAAGAGAAATGTATCGAAAACGCAACTAGGTTTACAAATATTCCGCACCAATAATTGGCCTATTTGTGGTATTTTTCTAAATTTCAAAATCGGAAAATTTTATTTGATGTGTAATTTTATAAATTTGGTAGTTATGTGCCCATGCGTTTCTATATTACCGTCTTGTTTATAGATAACAAAAAATCGTATTCATTACTTTTTCTATACTTATTCTACATCGCTGTAAATTGCGTTAATTTAAGTGCTCTAAGAATTGATATTTTGACTTCAATTATATGGTGTTTAGTATCAATTATTTGTTTTCAAATAAATTTATTGTCATTTATACCATCTGTTTTATTTACTATTACACTCGAAATATAAGATTATTAGAAGTGATATTCCGTACGTATATTTTTGTAATGGATAATTGATTTTTCTGGTAATAATTTCGTTAATTCGGAATCTTTGATCAGGCGGTATGTTAATTTGTGACCCTCTGTGAAAACGTAATCTGGGTATATATCTTTAAGAGCATGCCCGTGACCTCATTTGCACCTCTATATTGGGTTTGGACGTTAAGTCAATCCATGAAATCAATGCCCTTCACGCGCCGAACCAAAGTGTCGCAATATTTGTGCATTGTTCTATCGGCGTCAAGGTACATTTTCTACCAGACAAATTCGTGAATTATAAGCTATGTTCACAGTATCATAAGTATCATATCCATTTCTGGTGCCACGTCATGTATTTGCGCCATTGCAAAGTATTTGTCCCTTCTGATGCGACATTCAGCGCGTTCTCGACACGTTTTCAGTTGCGATGCTGCTGCCTTTTTACCACACAAAGCTACAACAAATTAATAATAAAAAAGATTATAAAAGAAATGAAACAACATATGTTACTATAAAACTTTAATCCATTACAGCACTTACTGTACATAATTTAGCTAATGAAAATGTATTTCTGACAATTATTTTATCTGCTACAGTGCTTTACAGCTATACTGCATCACAGTTGCAAAATAAGTACAGTGTAAATATGCATAAAAATAATTCACTTGGACATTATCACATCATTCAAATATCAGAGGTCACCATTCTAATACAAGTAACTTTTCCTAAATGTATTTTTTATTATAGCATCAACAATTCGCATATAAATTGTTTAGCTTGAAATACCTGGTACAAAAATATTTACCCTTCTTGTTTACATATCATATACAGCATACATCATGTGTAATGAAAAATCTTTACACTTTTATATTAAAAAGACATTTCACATCAAGTGTTCCATCTTAGAAACACACCTGTAGCAGAATCTTTTGCGTGGTTCTCCAAAAGCACCCATCATGCTTTTTTTTGGCAGAATTTCATCAACTGACCATGTCAAGCCCAGTGCTTCCTATAGCTTATTAGGGATCTCTTTTAGGTAATAGTCAGGGCATCAATTTGCCAATTACTCAAAAAAAAAAAAAAAAAAAAAAAAAAAAAAAAAAAAAAAAAAAAATACTGGTACAGCTATATTGCTAAGTTATTATTTACAATGTGAAAAGACATTTAGAAAGTTCCCTGTTGGTATTTTAAGAGTCACATATTACAGCTGGTCCATGATTTTATAAAATGAAGTATTTTCTGTTCAGTAAAAATAAAAAAATAATTTTCAGATAATCAGATTTTTTGTCTCTCTAATGATAAGTAAACAAAACAATATTAAAAGAGCTGTATAAAATTATCAATTTTCCGTAAATTGTGCCAATAAAAAGTACTAGCACATGCACTTATTGATGATCATTGTTTTGAATTTCAATTCAAATTCAATTCAATTCAAAGTACCCTTAAAATAAACCTCTTTAAGAAAAATTTTTCTTCACTTGGACAAAAATACTGAAGGGTAACGTGCATTACTTACTTCATTAGACATAAAATATATTGTTAGGCAGGAGGTAGTAATTGCATTACTAATTTTGGCATATGATATTGAGTTAAGGATATTTACAAACTGAACAAAATATCCTGCAATATAATTTATGTTTCATCATATTTAGGGTCATCAGTTAAACTTTGAATTTACAATATTTGTCAGTCTTACCCTTCAAAGTTCATCACAGAATATTTATATAATATTATATGTAAATAAAACTGATCTAAAACAGCTTTAAGTCATAGACAGTTACTACACTGAACTCATTTCCAAAGAATTACCAATAAAATTATCAGTGCAACATTGTGTCTGTGTCCACTGCTATAGCTGTGAAAAAAAAAAAAAAAAAAAAAAAAAAAAAAAAAAAAAAAAACCTTATAATTAGTAATTAGCTCTGGGAGCTGCCCCTGGACTGTTGAATTGGCTTTAGTTTCTGTGGTTTAGCAGGGGCCCTGCTTGGAGGGGCCTGGCTCTGGTTTGGAAGTGTAGGAATGGCAATTTTCCCTCCTCCTAACTTCTGTTTTTTCTAAAAGACAAATAAATCAAATAAATCAAACATATAAAGAACACAGTACAAAAGAACTGTCACATGTGCATGGTTGTATAAATGTGTACACTGTAAGCTAACTGCTGGTGAGATAGGTATATATATCCTGACACAAGGCATAATATAATCTGAAAAGTTGAAATAAGTAGCTACAATACTTTTGGTTTGTTCACTTCACTGGTTTCTCTAGAAATTAAAGCACCTCCTATTATTGCTTAAATGGGGATTCAAGAAATATTTATTTTCTCACCCCTCCTCCTTCTAGAACTGTCTTGTGGTATTGTTTCATCCTGGTCTCATAATCCAAGATATACTTGGCTTTGTAGAACAGAGTTTTCTCATCAAATGGAGTCTTCAAACCTGTCAGAAAGAAAACTTAATTTATAAAAAAAATCAACGCTGGTACAAGGGCATAACAATTCTTGTTTTCACAACAGACGCGATAAAATAAAAATTCTATTGATTAATTTATTAACTTTTTTATTAATTAATTTGAAATAATTTTTTTTAAATGATTAATTGTAAAACCCGAGGTGATGAAAATAATCTAAAACATAAACAGAAAAAGACACTAATTTGTCTCAACGCAGGACAGAAAACATGAAAGAGAAAATTTATCACTGGGTTCAGAAATCAAAGAAATGTTCTTTTTGTACTGTGCGAAACTCATATCTTTAAAAATGCCATTTTTTTGAAGCAGATGCCTTCGTCTTTACATGTATTTCTAAACATCCGTTACATATAAAATGATCATTAGAGGTGATACTTCTCTGTGTGAGAAAATTATTTTACCTGAATTCCTTTTACTAGTACACTGTAACTATATCTCTTCCTAAAACATTCTTAAGAATTTGTTCTTTATTTTTCATTGGATATATCTTTGATTATCTTAGATGGTTCTACAGATATTCCACCAATTTAGAAAACATTTCAGTATGTAAAGTAATTCTATTCCGTAGTGATACATGTATTTTTCACAGTTAGAGATCACTGTGCTGTGATGAAACTGTTACACAGCCCAAAATAAATAATCTATTTTATTATTATAATTATTAAATGACTTACTTTCAGCTAAAGCTGGTAACTTTACAGACTGTTCCTCATTGTTGGATCTCTCAGAGAAATACTTGTGTGGATGAGCAATGAAGTCTGGCTTGTCTATCTTATTGAGTTCCTGCAGCTCATTCATTTCCAGTGCCTAAAAAAAATACAAGTGTTAGCAAAATATACCAAATAGGAATAATTTTCATTTATCTTGAAGTTCTCTCAAAAAAAAAAAAAAAAAAAAAAAAAAAAAGGTTTCTGAAACACACACTCCTTCATATCATTAGTTGAGGGCAGTGATGTGCTGGTCACCAGCCCAGCAGAAAACCATCTGGGTGAAAGATATACATTTTTATATAAATTTTGTGTCACTCATGCAATGGAGACAGACTGATAAATTTCAGTTATTTCTTTAAAAGTTAGAAATCTAGAATTCCAAATAGGCTTTTGTTGATAGAAATTTTATTCTCCTCAACAATTTAGTACACATACTGGTACATGTAAACTGATGAAATTTCCTATTAATGAATTTTTCAGCTATACAGAAATCTAGGACTCATTGTACTGGTATGCCTTTTAAGAGAGCACCACAACTTACAGCAAACGGTCCTGCTGGTGGATCCCCTGTCCTCTCCCAGTGTAGATATGGCAGGTTAGGCATCACCTTGGGTTGCCTGCGCTCTCGTTTGTGAGTCCTGGTCTCCTGGTATGTTTTACCTAATGAGGCAGGAAAAAGGTGTAAAATGGTATGTGTATGATAAAAAATACATGGGAAATATGAGAAAGGTACTGCATGAGAGGGTATCAATCCTTTTTTCTAACTGAACAGAAGAGCAGTTTTTTCTTTAAACTTTTTACATAAAACAGGGGGGTTGTCCCAAGAAAATCCCCCACTCTGTCAATGTCCAATGTTGACAGGTAGGGCCTACCTAGGCATGTTTTATCCCATGTGTTAAACCTGTAGCTTTCTGGTTGGTCAGTTGCAGATTCTTCAGGCTCCCAATGGCTGTCTGCATCTGGTTCTATCATGTCAGTGTCAGCAAACTCTTCTTCTTCCTGAAATGTTATGTGCCAGTATAACATTTACAGTAATAGGACAGTATATGTATTTCTCCTGTAAAACTTTATTAACTCATTATTTAATTAAAAAAAATGTTGTAAATGGTACTTTCAGTTAGCTTACTATCAATAGTGAAAAAAAAAAAAAAAAAGAATCAACTGTTAAAAGTGCATGTATCATTTACCACTACAGTATAGTCCAGTGTGTTGAAATTTTAATCATTTTAAAACAGGACAGTTAACATACCTCTTTGGTTTCCTCGTCTACTTCCATCTTTGGAACATATGGCTCTATTTTCCAGTGATCCTCCTGATGAAATGAAATATAAAATAAGCAATAAATCAATGAATATATTAAAAAAAAAAACAAAAAAACTAATAATCTCAAAAAAGTCTGCAACATGTGTGACTATATATCTCTTTGTCTGCCTCTGTCTCTCTCTCTCTCTTTATCATGCATTTAAAATCATAACAGGAACTAAGATGATACGTTGTGTTTTACTCAATATATTAAGAAACAGAGGCAGGGAGTCACTTAAATGTTATCAGAATGGTACCACGTGAAGGAATACAAACGGCCATGTTATTTTTATAGAACAATCGTACATGAAAGCATTGAGCCCTAAAACAATCATATAAAATACTACACTTCAACTCTGTATCATTTCCCTAACCTGTCCAAACACTCCAATCAAGTTGCCGTATATGTCCCAGAGCTGTACACTACAGTCCATGGAGGCAGACACCACCAGGAGGCGCTCATTCCTCTCACACATCACGAGACTGGTGATGACGTCTACGTGAGGCTGCCATGATGCTGTCATAGCTGAATTGGGGAAAGACAGAGTTAATTTTCTCATTTACCCAGTATACATGTACATGTACTAGTATCATAAAAGTATCTATGCACGCACTAGTATCTCAAAAGAGAAAAAGATAAAATTGATGCTCAACTTACAATATGTCATGTGGCAAGGATCCTATGTCACTACTGATACCACAGATCTACAGATCTACCACAGGGTAATTAGTGTCCAAGAATTTAGCAGTCAAAAAAAAAAAAAAAAAAAAAAAAAAAAAAAAAAAAAAAATGTCCAGTTTTCTATCAAATTTTATCAAATTTACAAAATTTGTCTGTCCTGGCTTCAACTTTGGTGGCATTTTGCATTGTGCCATGTCAAAACATGGGCTCGCAATATGTGGTCATAAATTTGAGCTCAATGTTATATTATTATTAATTTTTTGTTTTGGCATAATTGTTTTCGTCTGATGAGCAATACTTACGTGGTTGATTAGTAACCACATCATCAGCCTGTCTGATACAATACTCTGAGATATTCCACACCTTCATGTTGCCATCCACGTCACCTGTCACCAAGTACTGGTTGTGCTGGTCTGTAGCCATGATCACACTGGCAGCTGGGATAATAAGATATGTGACACTGTGGAATTTTGTTTCATACTTTTAGCACCTTGTGTAATGCATTTCTCGATTTTACACACCTTAATTACACTATTCCTTTACACTGCCACACTTAACATAATTCTCACAATATCATCATTATGCTACTGACACTGAGTTAGTTTATGTGTATTTCAGATAGTTTTTCAACACACTTGTACAATTGCTGCCAAAGAGATCCCAGAATTACAAGGTCCAATATGGCAGGTATTGTGCACTATCCAGCACTAAAGATATGTGACAGAATTATAGGGTAAAATCGCTGGGGTTTACCTAATGGGTTTATACATTTTGAAATAAGTTTATCAGCTTCTTAATTATATCAGTGTGATACTAGGAGAGGGGTGGGTTGCAACAACAATTTTGGACCACTTTTGACACAAATGGCACCAACATACAATATCAGACAGACATTCAAACTTATCTGTATCCCAAATTATAACTAGTTTGTGACAAAAGAAAATCTGTGATCTAGACTTATAGTACATTTCCTTTGGCTTACCTTGTGGATGGGAGACAAACTCCCCCATGAGAGTACCAGCACTTGTAGAAGTGTTCCAGAACCTGACCCAGCCATTTCCACCGCAAGACACCAGATTTGCTGTCCCTGACGCCGAGTGAGTCTTCCTAGCTTCCAGGAAGAGAACCCTGGTCACTGCGTACTCGTAACCAGTCTGATCCTCGCTGATTGCTGCCACACTCATGCGAGATTTGGTTCGTTGCGGAGATGCACGTGATAATGGTGTAGGTGCCGTGCCAGGGGTAGGTGCATTGCGAGGTGTCGTTGCATTCCTTGGTGTGGGTGGGTTGCGAGTTGGGCTCACACTTTCAAAGGTGCCTTCCCTAGTCAGCTGAAAATAAGTACATGAAGCAATAATTATTTTTCAAATATGACATAGGGATTTTGTCACTTGACAAAGTGTTTATGTATTTAAAGTATTATATTAACTGCCTTTTGCTAATTGTCTAGATATGAAACCCTTCTGCTTCTAAAGAAAATAAATAAGTTAAAGGAAAAAAAAAAACAACAAAAACTATGACCAAACACTATTCCTTCTCAATCTCTGGTAACAATCTAACAAAGCCCAATACCTCTCTGCTTGCTCTACTTGGTATTAAAGTGGACCTCCTGTTTTTGTTGGTCACTTTCTTGGCTCGCTGGTTGAGGTGCTTGGAGGCATGCTCAGAATTCATGTTCCAGATGACTATCTCACCATCATATGAAGCTGTGGCCGCTCTGTTAGGGGGACTGAAGCATGCTGTTAGTATGTCATCTTGATGTTCCTTGAAAATGAATTTTTAGATTTTTTTACTCTTTCTGACATTTAAACTTCAAAGTGCTGGATTTTATGCTAAGGCTCACATGGCTCATCTTTGGTATGCATCTTACAAATAATTTTTTTATAAATTTGCATTAAATATCAAACAACTTTTTTATTCAATTTTAAAGAGTAAAAAATTTGAGCTATCAATTTATATGACATGGCTCATATGGTGCATCTTTGGTACAACTACGTAGACCAAATTTTCTCAAGTTTATATGAAAAATGCATTAATCATAAGAGGCAGTTTTGCACTTCATCAAATAATTTAACATGCCATTCTTCTAGAAGTTTGTTGTGATAGAAAATTAAAACCTTGTTACATGTGACAATACAAAGTACTAGTACAAACCTGGCCTCCTTTCCAATCCGAGGGCAACACGTGGAAGTCTTTCAGGTTGTTTTGACGGAAGATTGTAATATGCCTGGAACAGAAAATAGCAGAAATACAGCAAATTACAATACAACATATTCAATGATATATCATTGCACTTCTTGTTTATTTGCAAATTATTGGTGTGTGGCAATATGGTAGGTGTGACAGTATGTTAGCTAGGTGTGACAAAAAAGTGATGTGACAACTTGTACTACCTTGATATGATATCAAATTGAAAAAAAAAACAATAATAAAAAATGGTAGTAATGTTTAAGACAAGAAATGTTTTAGATTACATCTTTTAATAACACTAATTGCTATGTATATGTGACATTGTTTAACAAGGCACCCTGTAATCTGGTCATGGGCATATACTAGGTGAGTAAATATTCCATGTGTAATAATGTAAGGTGTGACAGTGATATATGTAAGTAAAATGTGCTTGATGAGATGCCTTACCTGGCCCATCCCACCACAAGAACATTTCTCTTCAGCACTATAATCTGACCAATATCTGCTGGATGACCCTCACTACAGTCCAGTGTGTGGTAACAATGACCATTGAAGTCCCAGATCTAGAATTTTATGTAAATGTGATTATAATCAAATACTCAGTTAACTATGCTGTTAATAGTTAAATGTTGAGCAACATTTCATTTTTTTCACATTTAAAGGTTGTCATGCTTTATCAGTCTTATCACACTTGCCCTTACTCATCACTTTTCCATCCAATACTCTTTCTTTTCCCCTGCACTCCCTACCATAATTGCCACAGTTCTCAACATCTCATCTACTAATATTTAAGGCCGCATCACAACAAAAGTAGATCTGCTAACAGATCCGCAGATCAAATATGACCAACCCACTTAAAAGCTTACTGGGTAATCCATGTGAGGAATCTATTCAGTGTCTATTAGGGGATCATGCAGCAAACTTTTATGTGGATGACAGATCAACTAGTTCTGAATGCACCCAAATACACATAACACTGACCCCTCCCCACTATCCAATCTCTTCTAACTCACCTTGACTGTGCCGTCTGTGCTCCCAGTGTACAATCTGGTCTCACTCTGGTCCAGCGCCAGTGCTGTCACCTCGTTGGTGCCATGTGTGTTAGTGAACTGCTTTACTTTCTGTCCCGTGTCTATCATCCAGACCACCACAGTGCCTGCCTGACAGGAACTGATCACCTGCACAGGAAATTACATACATGTACCAAGTTTCATGGGCATGTGTGTTAAATGTGACAGTAAGGCATAATATCATGGCTTTGGTCTGCCAGTATATTGTATGTTAACTAAGAAGGCTCTCAGACAGAGCAGACCTCAGCCAAGGAAGTTCAATACTCATTACTAAGTCATGGATTACTGCAAATATCTAACCAATTCTACGTTAGCTGATTTCTGGGATATTATGAAAAATCCACAATAGTTTGAGTAACAAACCAAAATATACATAGGAGGTGATCAGTTAACTTTGACAACTAAATAAGGTAAGCATGATACTTTGCATTAAGTGTGAAAGTGAAATGAAAAACACTGTGAATATATTTAAAAATGGGGTCTCCTGCGGGAATGGGTGGATAACTCATTGCAGGTGTAACCCGTTATACATATATTACAGCTTGCTACAGCTTGTAGAAAACACACAATGTATACAAATCTTTTTGAAATTAAAACTAAATTTAAAACTAAAATCAAAACTGAAAGCATACCTGATTGTAGAGAGAGTTGTAGATGACACTACAGATTGGTTTCTCATGACTCAGGATCCTATTTTTCACCTCTGCCTTCATTTCCATCAGAGTCAGCTGATAGTTAAATGTGATGAACAGTCTGTTCCTGATCTCATCCAAATACAGAACACTATACACTGAAATTATGAATATTATGAAATTAAAATCATGAAGCACTGAATAATTTAATTCTGATTCAGACACAAAAGGGCCTGATGCACTGTCATGGATAAAAAAACTATGAAAAATATAAGCAATAAGCACTGCAATTATAACACTATGATATAAAAACAGATATGATAAAAAGGGACAAACAGACGTTACATTTCAGCCTTAATCACATTTCATATAGCAAGTTCAATGACATAGAAAAAGCAAATCAAATCAATCAGTGTAGCTGCATGTGATCAATGAAAAAAAGCTTGCACTGCTGTGTATACATTTACAATATACAACTATTTTCTTGGCTAATAGGTATATACTAACCTTCTGGTCCTTTGGGGAACATGCCAGCCAGCCTCTGTATGCACACCTGGAGCTGGACATCCCATATCCTCAGGACTTTATCCTTGGAGAAACTGATCAGCTGGCCACGGGTGGTGTTGAACTGGACCTGGATAACACTGGCCATGTGGCCTCTTAGTACCTGCAGGAGGGGGGGTGGTAATAATAAAAATAAAAATTATAAAAAATAACAATTTGTAGAAGTTTACTGTATTTTCTTTGCAAAATATGTAACCATATCTGTAAATTGAAATGAATAAAGGAATTTGTCTGCACTTGTTATACTTACAGGAACTAAGTCCATGCTACCTTTTCTTTTATCTAAATGCTAAAAAATATATTTTCATTTATATCTATAATTTCTATACATAAGCTGCTTTTCAATCAAACCAACACAAAAAGATGGACAACAATCCTATCTCTCATACCCCGTTTGGTTTGGAGACAACATATGGGTTCCACAAGCACACCTGGTGGTTCACTCCAGCAGTGGCTGACAGGAAAAATAAGGATCAAATGTACAAGTCTGACTTTAAGTAAATGACCATTTCAGTGGTAGTTCTTAATAAATAATTTTAAGAATCTATCAGAGTTACTATGGCAATACATTCTGTTGATGTTGTCACAAAACAACTAAATCCTAGATCTACATGTATATGCTCTAAAGCTTTATATCTAATAATTAAAAAAAAAACACACATTTACTTTTGGTTTAGTTTGCTTTAAAAATCTTTGATCAAAATGTGTAATATTATGCAAAATAAATAAATAAATAAATAAATAAATAAATAAATAAATAAATAAATAAATAAATAAATAAATACCTATGAGATTGAGTCCCTCATGGTAGTCGAGCCCATTAACTCCCTGGGAGATGTGGAAGGCAGTCCTGGAAATATTGATATAAAAAGTTAGATTAAAACATATCTAGAGAATCAGTAGATACTCTGATTTGTTTATGATCTATATAAATGACTCCTTAGATGCAGTGTGTCACACTAAATATAACCATTAAGGACACATAATGCCTGTAACACCATATAAATAATAAATAACAAAAAGTTTTCACTTTATTAACAGTACATGTACACCCTGTCTAAAACCATTGAGAAAATGATGATATTTAAAGGTGCTTTCTATGTTTGGTAACCCTCTTGGATTGTTATTTACGTTTTCATGGCACGTAACGAATCCCCCTTCTCTATCCAACCAATCACAATGGCCCTTGCATTACTGGTAGACACGCTGATGAAAGCATCCAGGTTGGGAGCATACTTAACTATAAAAAAATTTAAGATTAATATGATCAATTTGAATCAAAATACTTGTTATCACTTATAATACTTTTTATTCAATCAAACATGGACCTCTGTAAAAATGAACCTTATCGGTTACGATGTGATTAAGCAGTTTATGTGTACTGTCTTTAAAGCAATAATAACTCTTCCTTTGAGATTCAAAATTCCACATGAAATACATTGTAAACAACGCATGGAAATATATTCTATTGTATTTTACAACTAAAACGGCCGTTATTGTAGTAAAACTAAAATCTGTGCTTGTCAATAGGGCTTACGATGCTTTTCTTCCCGGTCATCAAGGCATTCGTTGCTAATGACGTAATGGTGTCACGCGGATTCTCGCGTTCATTCGAGACCAAAATAACATATGGCGGCAAACGCATTAATGCAGACGCAGACGTAAGTTGCGAGTTTTTGTACAGTGCGTCGGATAACGAAAAGCCCAGAATGGCACACATTGTGGATATTAATGTATTTTTAACAAAAAGACGAATATATCTCATGAATCTTATATAGTGTTGTTGTTGTCTGCTTTTCCCGCGGTTTTAAGTAGGTCAACAGTGACTATGCGATGTCAGAGAGAGCTCCGTCAGTTAAAATCTCTTAAGAGATTTTAACAAAAAACCGTACGTTTAGGAAAAAAACCCTGGATTAACTTTGAATGCAGGAATGGGGTCGCTGACCATTGGTAAGTACGGGAAAATTGCCGTTTACTCCAGGAAAATCCAATTTTTGGCCAAAATGAAGAGTTATTATGACTTTAATAAATGGCAATATTATAATATTTGAGTGCTAAAATATATACAGCTTTGTATTGTGCTGCAACCTTGACCTGCTTTTACTGACCTTGTCTAACCCACTCTGAGTGCCCATGGTGCCTGATATATCTGGCATTTTTATACTTGGCTTTCTCTCTGTTATCTATTGTCCTGGAGATTTCTTTGAGTTGGATATTGAGAGTGGTCTCTGAAGAAAAAAAAACAGTTCAACTGAAACATGATTGAGTATAGCTACATTATAAGGTTGTTTTTTTCTAATAAAAAAAAAGGATTTTACTTTGCCAATGTATAAGGTAAACAACACTACAGCTAAGTTATTGCTGCCTGAATATGATGTTTTTAACTTGAACACATCAAGGTCTATAACAGTATAACTAACATTCTATCATTTAATACACCAGCACTCCATGTTACTCATCATTCCATGTTATTGAGCATTTTTAATTTGTTACTGTCATACCTATTACCATTTATTTCTGTGCAGGAGAAAAGAATCATTTTCACACCTGTCACTATTTACATTGCTTCTTCCCAGCAGGAACAGTTCAACAATGTCACACCTATCACAATTTACCTTGCTTCTCTCCAGCAGGAGCAGTCCAACACTGTCACAACTAACACAATTTACCTTGCTTCTCCCCAGCAGGAGCATTCCAACACTGTCACAACTACCACAATTTACCTTGCTTCTCCCCAGCAGGAGCAGTGGGTCTCTCGAACAGGGCAATGTTGGCTGTGCTGAAGAGAAGAGCATTGACGCAACCACCCACATCTCCCCACACTATGACAGCCTCATTGGTATTTTTAGGGTTAAACCTGAAACAAAAATAAATATTTCTAAAAATCAAGATACCCCAACATCTGTCTGATTATGATGGACCTCTGAGTTTTAATTCAACTGAAATTATGTAAGCAGTAGAATTTGAATTGATTGATGCAACCCTTGAACATGACCAGAAGGATTTTGTAGAGTGTTTTGAGCATAATTTATTTTTTCATTAACTAATTAGTAAAATTAAGTAGTTATCAAAATATGGAAATTATCTTTTTTTCAATAAATTCAAGACTTATGTTCTATTCCATGAAACATATCTTAATGATTGTAAGTAAAAACACCTGATGAAAAAAATTAAAATCCAATCCTTTTTGTAAAAAGACATTTTGTTATTTTGCTTAACAGTTAAATCAGTGGAGAGTGCCTGGCTTCTATTTAACCTACCAGTAATCCAGGCAGAGAGGGGTATGCTCCAGCCCCTGTACTTTGTACTGGCAATTGAACTCTAGTTTGTTGGAACTCATGTCATAGAATGCTGGAGCAGATATGTTTTGAAAATCATTAAATACATTAATGATTTCTAATAATTAACATAAATCATAAAAATCAACAAAAATAATCCCTACAAGCCATTGAAAATTCATACGAACATACATGTATGGTGTTATGATACTGAAATTAATCTCAGATATAAGAATGCATAATCATTCATAATGTAATGCACATCAACAAAGACAATGCATCTTTTATTATAGAATTTTCAACCTTAAAAAAAAAAACAGAATGGTTTGCTTTAATTTCTAATCTGATCCTCCTCATGATTTTAGTCTGCATTATAAGTAAAAAATAAAGACACAGAATTTATTTTCTTAAAATTAACTCACCTATCTCTTTGCTGGTAAAGGCAAGAGCAATTTTATTGATGTTTTGCAGGGGTACAAAATGGGACATCCACAGATCTCTCTGCCTGCAGGATTCAGTGCCAGTCTTGATGGTTCTCTGCAGCTTCAGGCTTGGATCCCACATAGAAACACAGCCCTCCTAAATGGCGAGAGACGGATCAGTATTAAAGTCTTGTTAAACACTGAACTTTTTACCTGTGCCTGGCCATAAAGGAAATGACACTTGAGAATGAGTAAAGAATATTGTCTGATATTTGTTATTGTTTAATTTTTAAAAGAGAATGAGCAAAGCATCTTATCTAGCACTAGTCATGCCTCAAACATAGCATGTTGACTTGGTTGCTTCTAATCGTGACATATAATGATATACTTGTACATGTATACTTGTCTCCATGAAGCCGAGAGCTTTAAATAGCAAATGATCACAGAGCAATAAATGTAAAAAAAAAAAATGCATTTCTATCATTGCATTTATTTGCAATGTACTGACAGTTGTGCTGAAAAAATTACGAATGACTTATTTACCTTACTAATTGCAATGTATCTGTTAATATTCTTCAGGTATGCAATCTTCTGTATTGTCTCCTTATGTGGGCTGAAAAAAGTCAACAACATTAAAAGTTCAGAGAGTAAATAGTGATAACAAAATATTGCTGTAGGTTTTGTAATACTGTAGGTTAGCATAAGGCATAAGGCTTTAAGGGAAAGGAAAGTATCAAATTCTGTTTCAGTGACTTTTTATTGCCAATGTTATAAGGGAAAGGAAAGTATCAAATTCTGTTTCAGTGACTTTTTATTGCCAATGTTATGTCTGCTTTATCTCTGCATAAATGATGGTCCATTATTACTCAGAAATGGTATAAAATATGACTATTATATTCTCTTGGAATTCCTATTAAGAAGAGTTTTATATTAATATTATCATTTATTTTCACCTTGGTAGAGTTTTTAAATCCTTCCACTGAGGTACTTGTGTAGACTTCACTCTGTCATCTTTCTCATAGAACTCCAGCAACATGTGTGAAGCAAACTTATCCCAGTCTACCTGACCTTCCTTTGTAACATCAATCTTGTCAAAAAGTTCTGCATACTAGAATTGAAAAATAACAAAAAATGGAATAATTTGACTAAAAATACATGTAAATACCTTTTCATTACATTTTTCTATTTGTCAGCATGGTTTATTACATCCAAAACCCATCACAGAATTATAATCCACAAACCTTTTATATTTAGAGGCTGGAGAATTTGTAGCATGATGGTAATTTAAGTAATAAAATTTGAACTTGAAAACAGGTGTTCATGGACTGTAAATAGGGTATACGTTGATGATAAAAAAAATTGCTAAAATTCCAGATAAATTAATTTTTTGTTATATGAAGCACTATAACTGCCTTTTACCTTTTGGTGAATACTGAACAATATCTTATTGATGCTGCAGTGTATATGTATGTATTTTAGGCAAGATGTAAAACAATAAATTATATAGCTAACTCACATCTTGTCTGCTTCCTTTTGTGAGCAGTCTGGAAAGAGCTTCACAAAATTGTTCCCTGTTGAGACTCAGTCTATTGTCATAGCCATCTCCATCAGCCTGAAAAATGGGAGAACTTGTCAGCACATTTCATTTCAAATTTAGTTAAGCATATACCATTAACAAAATTAACAAAACAAAATCTACATAATACAACCACATATACACATGTAGAGAAACACGTATACATGCACAAATACACTCACAATAGGGCATTACTATTGCTAAAACTTCTAAAGCACCCATGACATTTTAAACGATGTTCTACGTTTTTAGAGACAAGTTCAAGAGTTGTTAAGAATATTACCATGAAAATGTCCTGTACTTGCTCCAGGTCTCTGATGTTCAGCCTGTTCTCCATCTTTTGGTCAAGCATTTTCCTGAAAAAAACAAAAGCATAATGGTGAGATCTAACCACAAATATAATACAGGTACAGGTACATTTAAAAGAATTCATTCTATATTAAGGTGTTTTTAAAAAAGAGAGACTGTAAATTCAACGCTATTATTTTTTTTATTTCTTTTCAAAGTATAAAAAAAGCTATTTTGTATTTTGCTGTCTTACATATAAATGAATTCTCACATCTTGCCTCATTTTTGTCTTTACTATTCCCCTAGGGGCATGCTACAGTTTATTTGTGAGACAACCACAGATTCAAATATTGGTTGCCATAAGAGAGGGGAAATATTGTCGTTTGTAATAAGTCCCTCTTTTCTGTCTATTAAAAATAATTTCATTATATTATCTTTATGTTATAGCAGCATCTACAAGAATCAAAACTCACTTGCTAGTGTCAGGCTCAGGTTCAGGGGCCGCCTGGGGAGCTGCCTTCGTTTTGGCACTCGAAATGGCTGTCGCGGCTGGAGTTGTTGTCGCCATTTTACCGCCTAAAGCTTCTTGCTATAGCATAAATATGAGCAACAATATACCATACCTCTTCAAAAAAATGATTCAAAATAACACAGAGCTTGTTTCTACACCATCTTTGGTCTGAATTTGTGCTATTTTTTCACAGCACCTGCAGGATCGTTTTTTGTTGCCAAGGAGTGCAATGGGATACTCAATGCATCGATGCGATCACAAAACTGGTTTTATTCAAGACAGAACCAATTGGTATTTGGACGTTACCTCGATTACCTGCGCGAAGTGAACCAGACATTCTAGTACGTACCTCGTGTACGTTTGCCATAAAAACAGTGAGCAAGATAGAAAAATTATATGGATAGGTGACTTAAAATTCAGATGTAAGAAAATGGCATGGCAAAAACTTAGGTGACGTTTGAAGCAGAGGAAAATAAACAATGCTGCAGGTGCTCTTTTCCGCTGGCACTTGCAAGTTGCAGAACGGCACTTCGCACAAACTGCAGAAATAACCAAGTAACTCCGTTCCCTGCGTTCTCTCCGCCACCTGAAAATCCCCCCCATTGTACCATCTTTAGGTCACCTAGTGCAGCCACTGAGCTAGTGACAAATGCAACATTGTAACCTTTTCACCGTCAAACTGTCAGTCTTGAAAGAGATTTCCTGTACATTTGATTGGCATTTCACTGACCTAGATAAATATCCTACAGCAGAAAGCAACAACCCTAGCTTACAGGGTAAGTGTTTTTTCTTCTGTTTCTTTTTTCATTGTATTGAAAGGTACACCTATAAGACTTTTTAAAGACAAAAACTTCGGCTGTTAGATTGTTTTATAAACTCTTCAATTCTTTAAAACGAATACAGGTATAGATATAGCGACAATTTTATACTGTGGCCGCGCGCAGGCTGGCGCCACGCTGTCTGGTGGAATAGTCTAGATTGATACAGTTGATTGAAAAGAAAACAAATTATTCATTAATTAAAATGTTTAAATGAAGTATAAAGTTGCCATATCCCACTAAGAATATGAAATTATTTTATATAAAAAAGAGATGTACATTACGTTAAAACATGCTGGAAAACATACGTCCAACAGACGAAAAAAAGAAAAAAAATTACTGTGAATATAATTAAGACATTCAATTTCGAAACATTATTATGAGAAATATCTTAAATCCTTCTTAATAAATTTTTATGCTTTCCACAGTGTATACAGTAGCCTTACTGTGGAAAGGATAGTTTTAATTGATGCCTCATTTACAATTACAAATAAAATTGTTGATTTTATGTTTATATGCACAGCAAAGAAAAAGAAAGAAAGAAACAGTTGAAAGGATCCCTAACAATGAGCTCAAAACGCAAATTTGCTGACAGCCCAGAAAGAAGCAGAAATAGTGAAAAAGACCTGGAAGAAGTGATGAGGAAAAACCGTTCTCCAAAATGTGCAAGATGTCGCAACCATGGCGTTTGTCAACCACTCAAAGGCCACAAACGCTACTGCCAGTTTCGTGAGTGCTCCTGCAATTCCTGTCTCCTTATCAAAGAAAGGCAGAAGATAATGGCTAAGCAGGTGGCGCTGAAAAGACACCAGGAACTGGATGAGACGATGGGCTTGCAAGAATACCAGCGTCCTGCCAACACCTGTAGTCAAGGTACAAAATGGTTAATATTTCACTGAAAAGTTAGTCATACCAGTACCCTCCTGATGTAAGGTGAAGAAAAAAAGCATATTTCTCAGGCTCAAATAATAAGCCTACTTTTAATTAATTTTGAACTTCTTTAACGGTTTTAACATAAAATAAAATAACTGTAGATCAGGTGCATACTTGTAACAGATGGTGTGGATTTATCCTTTTTTAAGCCTGTTTACTGATTTGTACATGTGAAAAGTTGAGCATTTTAGTTTTGCAAGTTGAAGCAATTGACTCATTGTGCTTTTTTATCTCAACTAAAATGAACTAAAATCAATCTTTTCACGTTAGGTGCATCACTGAGTTCCACAGAATTGCTGATGCAGGTGTTTCCAGGCGAGAACCCCATACGCCTGCAAGCAGCTCTGAAGTTGTCAAATAATGACATTCTGTCTGCATGTCAAAAGGTGGCTGAATGTAAGGAATTCTTTGATTTTAGTATACTAGTAATTGACAATTTAGCCAATGTTTAGGCAAGGCAAAATTGATCAGATAGTTAATGGATGGCAACACTCTAACTGTAAACAGGATATTTTTGTTTTTGGTTGTTAAATATCTTTTTGGGAAGATTTCAAATCCACAATGTGGGGGTTGTAGAGCATAAACACACAAGCATTAAGGGGTTTCCTAGGGTCAGTGGTTAATTTCTCCCACTTGTCAAACCCATAGCCCATTTTGCATTTTTTTATTTATTTATTTTATTTATTTATTTTATTATTTCTTCAAGATTAGGGTCAGTCTGAGGACATGCTTTTTGACCAATTTTTCGGTTTTATCTGGTCAAACTAAGAAATGTTGACAAATTAATATATAAAAGTACCTATTGGGATTTTATTACATATCATCTTAACAAAAATAATGTGTTGCTTTATGATCTATAAATATTATTTAGTTGGAACTTTGAGCAAATGCATATTTATTACGTGTTCTTAGATACAGTGCATTTACATTTTTCATTGTATTTATTTTTTGTTCATTTTCACTTCTCACAGCAAGAATTGCAGACTTTCAAAGTGGAGATCCCAGCAGCCCTGGACCCTTCTCAAGTTATCCGACTGGTGAATCCTTGGGATTGTGTAACTATCCTGCCAGTGCCGCCCCAGGGTCAACCCCCTACCTTCCCCCAGGATCACAGACCCAGTTCCCCTTCAGCACCTCTAGTAACAGGTTCGTTAACAACCTCTACCCCTCTTCAAGTGATTCCACCTTCGATTTTTCCCTTATGTCCCCAAGCAATGGTGGTTTCCCGTTACAGCCAGTGCCTCAGCACCAGAGAGGTCCGTTTTATTCTGGTCAGCCGATCAGTCCAGGGTCATCTTCATGCACCACAAGTGGTGTAGGATCTCACCAGTTCGCCAGTTTGGGGTCATCTTTCCAACCCATCCCAACCCCTGTCCACTACAGTCCAAGCATACCTGTTGGTGCAGCACTTATGGCGGCCAGCACGGACCAGGGCACAGACTCGAACTACGCCAACACATCAAATACAGCCCCAGGTGTAGGTGGCACTGCATGTCAGTCCTATGGGGAGGAGTCCAGTGCTGCAATATTTGATGCTGTGGTCAAGACTGAGGCTGACCAGATTGGCGGTGGCACAGAATCAGAGTCAAGCTCCCTAGAGGTCATCCACAACAGTAGCCAGTCCAGCCCACAGAATGGTTACTCACCAACAAGATTACTGGACTGTAATGGCATGGACTCACAGATGTCCGCTACGTCCACTACAGCTCAGATTGATACCCCATCTTCCTCTTGCAACATGACAGCTTCTGACCATTTTGGTCAACCAGGGATTGACCATTCCCCAGTTTCGTCCTGTTCCGACTCTGATCAGTTGGTCATCGAGATGCACCCAGCTGAGGAGATGGACACCTTAGGCACCCCTGAACAACAGCCACCGAGGTGTGAGGATGCTGAGAGAAAGAGGGCTCCACGTCTAGGAAAAGCCGACATGGGGTAGGAAATATTAATAACCTGTTAATCAATAATATATTAAAGAAACAAGTTACGTACCGTTGGTACGTACCTTAGCATTAAAAATTACATGTAGATTAATTTTAATAATTTGACAAGTACTTTATCACAAAAATTAGATTACTGTTGACTTTTAAAAAATGATGTTTCAAAAGAATTTTCATTGAATAAATAATATGGACACAGTTCACATGTATAGTAAATATTGTCTTATAGAAGGATTTAAAGCCTGTGAGAAATGTTAAATTAGATAATAAAAGTTCTAAAACATTATATCGATAATGCCAATTTTACAAAGTTTATAACTAAAGCCTTATATTTGCTTAGTGACAGTGGATATAGTGACCAAGAGCCAACACCAGAGTGACCTTGACTGTGACAAATGGTGGCCTTGACCTTTATTGCATGACCTTGATCTGCATAACATCTCTTTCTTGCTGTGAAAGTGAGGACAGGCAGTGGTGACATGCTGGCAGTGGTACTTTGTGTATGAGAGTGCCCCTTTTTTCAAAGTTGGGAAATTATATTATAGTTTTTCCTAAAATAACACCTGAACATTGAAAATGAGAAATAAACAAGTGTTTGTCAGAGATGATAGCAGAAAATATATTAAGATACATTGTATCAGGGAATGGAAAATCATTTGTTTTCAGTACATTAACGTAGTGTATTAATGTTCTAATAACCTGTGTTTTTGATGGACTTTTACAAACTACACAAAAGACTTGAATCCAGTGAATATCAATGGAAAAGTGTCTTTTGTTGTATTTTAAGAGTTGTAACAATTGTTGTGTAAGGGGAGTTTGTGGTTTTGATCATTTCTTGTTTTTTGTATGTACAAATAGTAATAGTGTATACTGTTTATATGATTTGCTCTCGAGATGCAAATCAATAAGCTCCAGATTTCAATGTTTTTATTTGTTGAAGTTTTGAAAAAATGATAAAACAATTATTGGAGCTAGGAGAAAAATTATTTGAACTAGGATAAATTATTTATATTTTCATACTTGCTTTTTGTGAAGTAAAACAGTATTCTCTTTTTGATCATTTAAGAATTTGGATGAGGAATCATGAGAAATGAACCAACTTGACAGACATTTGGAGTTTTCACAGCCTACATTGTAGTTGTTCGTTATTTTATTTAATTTTTTGTGAATTTTTCTCACATGGATGATGTTGAAATTGAGATGATTTGTAGTTGAATACTATAGTTCTTCTCAGCTTATTTTAGAACGATGATTTGAATTTTACGAAAATCTTTACTTGAAAAACATGTTTGTATTGTAGTGGGGAACAATACTTAAAAAAGAAATCAGCTAATTTTTAATTTAGCTTTTCCTGATTCACAACAATGGAGTTGAACAACTTTTGTTGTCGTTTTTCTTGTACCTTGAGATTTTTGTGTAGCTAGGATGTTGTGCTTGTTCTATGCTTATTAAATAGAATGTTTGTTAATCGTTTTATTTTGATTAATTATTTGCAGGGTTGGAAATATTCCATCTTTTCATTAGAAAAAACATAGAGAGGTGGTGGATTTTTCATGCAATATGATAATGGGGATATTTCAGGCAGGGTTAGAATGTTATTCCTCCTTTGTAAGCATTTTGTGTCCACTTCCTTGTAATTCTTGATATAGAGATGTACATGTACAAATTTAATTATATTTGTTTTTCAGTACAGGGGCAGATCCAGAGATATTTTCTGACAGTCTTCCAAATTATCTTTGTTGATCCATCCACCATTTTTGACCGTCTTCCGACAGAAAAAATTACATACCTGTCAATGTAAACTTGAAAATCTGACCGTCTTCCGGAAGACCCAGAAGACCGTCTAAATCCGCCCCTGCAGTAGATAAGGTTACATTTTATTTTAGCATATAGAAAATAACAATTGGCATGCTGGCTTTAAAGGGTTAGTTATATTCAAATGTTTGTTGCATTTATTGTTCAAAATTTTAAAGACATTTTTGTAACACTTGGAGAATAAAGTTCCTAAAACATGTACATGAATTGGTTGTAGCACATTTTGTCAGTCAAATGAATTTCACATTTAATTCTCCTTTAATTTTTTGTATTTTTATTTTTATATACTTAACACACTACTCACCACCTATTCTTGTATGCCAAAAAGGAGGTGACCATTATAATGTTAAAATATTAAATTGTCTTGTTTTATTTAAAATAACAGAAAATGAATCAATAAAGACCAGAGTGTGTTAGATGTGACAAACATCACAACACATTCACATGCCATTTCTCTGAAGGATTGTGTTGGTTGCGACTCGCACCTGCCTGGTTTCCCCATAATGCAATATGCAAGATGGGACTGCTCCGCAAGGTAAATATTCTTTCTTCTCTCCTTTTCTATTTTTAACTGCACTACTCGATATTCGCATCATGTATTTTAGTTTAAAACAAGCAAAGAGCTGAGCTGCCGTCTGTATGCCTGTTTATGTACGCTTGCCCTGTAGTTTGCTGGCTAAAGCGAGAAAAATCGTAATCAGCTGATCGCTCGAGTCGAGCTCACGAAAAACAAAACAAATATAGCGCTGTCTTGTTCATGCTTACTGCTTTTCATGTTCTAGGTCAAAATATGGATAGCTGTTTGAAAGCCAAATGTATCTGTTAACGTTTAAAACGAAGGGAGTCATACATTATATGAAACTAAAATGTTTCAATTCACCAGAAAGTGAAAGTCATTGTTTTCTTTTTTAATATACATGTATTTATAAGACTTGACAGAGCATTGCGAATGAAGTATCAATATTACATTTGGCTTTCACCTTGATTCGTTAATGAACATGTTAAATGAGCCCCAAAACCACAGAAAAACGCTTAGAAATACCACACTAGTCTACCACAGTGCAAAAATTCAGATTGAATCAGTTAAGTATATTAAAAATGAATTTAATAAAATCACCATAAATAACCCATAAAGACCCTGAACTAATGGGTTTGTGTATAGTGGGGTGAAGTGATTTCATTTTTGTGATTTTTAAAGATTTTTTATTTATATATACTAGTATTGCTTTTGAATTAAATGATGTAAATCACATTTTGACATACATTTTATTTTATTTTAAGCAATAAAATGTCAACATGTACTGTTTACAGGCTCTTTACACAATTTTATATGCATACAATGTATCTTGTACAAAGACAACTAAATAAATAAGACATTATGACTGAGAGACAGCACTTTATCATTCTTGTTTTTGGCTAAATTAAATGTGAATATTGAATGATGAGAGAATGATATATGCCTAAATGTATAAGACTCAAGACCACAATATAACTAAGCACATTTTCAAGCTGCATACCACTGTATATACCGTACTTGTATCCCATTCAGAAAAAAATGGAATGATGGACTTTCCTAATCAACTCTGTACTTTCCTAATCAACTTCACCCTCCCCCAACACACTTATTAATTTTGCATTCATGCTTTGTTATTTGTCATGGAATACCATATTTACCTTGTAAAATAAAGATACTGAGTTGTTCTTTTGTTGCTTAATGGAATGTTACAAAATTCTCTTCACCATAGTATCCTTCAAGTTCTCTCCCCAGTGTCGTTACTCTCCCATATCCTCTATAGGGCCCTCACATTGATTTTTTTCAATGGTTAAATAGGTGGCTTATCTCTGTACTGTGACCCTATGCTAAAATCTCAAGGATGATTACCTGGCTGGTAATTGTTTGCATAACTACTCAGGCACTGTCACTTAGCAGGTCCCTGTCAAGTCTCCTTGACAGCAGTCAAGACAGTTACGAGTAATTGCTCATCTGTGATAATAAAAACAGCCCCTGAATAGCTTGTTACTTCAGGGTGTTCCTTAAACACCGTGTGACTTGTTTAACAGACAGACAAGACAAGACAAGACAGGTTGTGTAATGAGCGTTAATCACATGGAGCGAAGCCCTGCTCCCACTAAGGGACCATTCCCACAGATATTTGGATTGATCTAACTCTCTGGGGAGTCTCAATAAATTGCTGTCAACCTGTGAACCGAATGTACGGGCTGCTAC